GCTTTGGAACTTAATGCCAGCCTCTATAAAAATCTGCACTCGACGGAGCTTCAGAAATCAAAGAGGCGCCTGCTCAGAAATCGAAGAGGCGTTTGCTTTCTCAAAAGTTGGGCTGCTTAGAGATCACGAGGGTTGATCTCAGAAATCGAAGAGCCGTTTGCTTTCTCAAAAGTTGGGCTGCTCAAAGACCACGAAGGCCGATCTCAGAAATCGAAGAGGCGCTCGCTTTCTCAAAAGCTGGGCTCCCTAGAGACCACGAGGGCCGATCTCAGAAATCGAAGAGGCACCTACTTTTCCAGCCTTGTCAGCACCTGTCACACGCACACTCAGCTTTGCGGAAATTATGGGCATTCTGTCAAAGACTTCTGGGGAAGTAGAAAACACAGGAATCTTACTGTTCAATCACCCACTTCCCACACGCAACAATAGCTCATGGGTACCACAGATAACTTTGCCAAAGTTCTCTGCCAAAGTTGAGCACGTGAAGCTTGCAGCTCCCACTACATCGCTCTGACCAAGAAGGGTAAAAGAATAGCAAAGAAACAGCACTAACAAAGTTTAGACCCATAAATTTTGAAGGTCTAGCTACCATATTATTACCCACAAGGGTAAAGGAACAGTACCACTGCTGGATAATTGGAAAGTCCATGTATGTCAACCTCTGTGCTTCGTGGCAAGGTAGACTAGCAAACATGCCCAACCTTTACTCACATTCGAGAAAACACTCCCAATAAGATTGCTTGCTCCAAAATCGAAGAGGCATCCGTCCTCCGAATCTAAAGAGCCAGACTCGCCAACATGACTACTTTCTTAAAAATCGAAGAGAGGGTAAAGGAACAGTACCATTGCTGGATAATTGGAAAGTCCCTGTGTGTCAACCTCTGTGCTTCGTGGCAAGGTAGACTAGCAAACATGCCCAACCTTTACTCACATTCGAGAAAACACTCCCAACAAGATTGCTTGCTCCAAAATCGAAGAGGCACCGCCCTCCGAATCTCGAGAGCCACTCTCCCAACATGATTACTTTCTCAAAAATCGAAGAGACACTGCTCCCCGAATCTCGAGAGCCAGACCCCCAGCATGATTGCTTTTCTCAAAAATCGGTGAGGCACCGTTCTCCGAATCAATCGAAGAGGCGCGCTCGCTTTCTCAAAAGCTGGGCTGCTCAGAGACCACGAGGGCCGATCTCAGAAATCGAAGAGGCACCTACTTTTCTAGCCTTGTCAGCACCTGTCACACGCACACTCAGCTTTGCAGAAATTATGGGCATTCTGTCGAAGACTTCTGGTGAAGTAGAAAGCACATGAATCTTACTGTTCAATCACCCACTTCCCACACGCAACAATAACTCATGGGTACCACAGATCAACTTTGCCAAAGTTCTCTGCCAAAGTTGAGCACGTGAAGCTTGCAGCTCCCACTACATCGCTCTGACCAAGAAAGGTAAAAGAATAGCAAAGAAACAGCACTAACAAAGTTTAGACACATAAATTTTGAAGGTCTAGCTACCATATTATTACCCACAAGGGTAAAGGAACAGTACCACTGCTGGATAATTGGAAAGTCCCTGTGTGTCAACCTCTGTGCTTCGTGGCAAGGTAGACTAGCAAACATGCCCAACCTTTACTCACATTCGAGAAAACAGTCCCAACAAGATTGCTTGCTCCAAAATCGAAGAGGCACCGTCCTCCGAATCTCGAGAGCCAGACTCCCAACATGACTACTTTCTCAAAATCGAAGAGAGGGTAAAGGAACAGTACCATTGCTGGATAATTGGAAAGTCCCTGTGTGTCAACCTTTGTGCTTCGTGGCAAGGTAGACTAGCAAACATGTCCAACCTTTACTCACATTCGAGACAACACTCCCAACAAGATTGCTTGCTCCAAAATCGAAGAGGCACCGCCTTCCGAATCTCGAGAGCCAGACTCCCAACATGATTACTTCCTCAAAAATCGAAGAGACACTGCTCTCCGAATCTCGAGAGTCAGACCCCCAGCATGATTGCTTTCTCAAAAATCGAAGAGGCATCGTTCTCCGAATCTCGAGAGCCAGATACCACAGACCACTTTTTTCAAAGTGCTCTGACAGAGTTAAAACATGTGAAACTGGCAGCTCCCACTACCGTGCTATGACCAAGCAGGGTAAAGGAATAGCATTACTACTTGTTGTTAGGGAGACTCCTATATATGTCGACCTCCATCCCCAACGGACAGGCAGACCTGCAAAAATGCTCAACCCTTCATCATATCTGAGAGGGCACTCCCAACAAAGCCTTTCGAAATATTCAGCTTTCTTTCCCCCCGATAATACCTCTGCAAACAAGCTATACTAGAGCAAAGAATATCTCATATCATCAGGGTTAAAAGCAAGAGTATCCCATATCATGCTTTTTCCCTGTTTTTTTCTTTTGGCCTTGTTTTTACCTGCAAGACAAGGAGAAAGAGAGCAATCAGTCAGCACTTGGAATCAAGCTTCCAGCCAGGAACTGACTGCCTGGAACCCCTTACCTGATTACTTACCTGGCATTGCTCTCGAGTACTCATCTTCAACATCTTATGTTTCCAGGGAAGATTCCGCATCTGCTTGAGGAACAGATAGGGCAAGTGCGAAGGATACAAGGAAGCATGTGGAGACAAGCGTAACAGCACACGTGCCGATACATCCATTACTCTGTCAAAAGCAAAAGTATCCCATATCAGCAGGGTGGAACGTACTCTAGATTTGATGGACTTGTTTTTGACCCTCAAATTCTTCAGTCGGCCTTATACTCTGGAGGAAACCAGAAAACCCTCCAGCTCAGTTCAAGAATAAGCCTGTGGAAAGTTACTTCTTCAAAAGCAAAAGTATCTCATATCATCTCTTCTCATTTTTCTTCTCTTTATCCTTCATGCTGCTGCAAGATGGGGAGAAGGTGAACAATCAGTCGGAGCTCTGATTGCTTACCTTGTCTGTCACCTCTTTCAGCAGACCCCCTAGCTCGGCGACTTGGGGGACTCCTACTACATGGTTTGTATCGCGCTTGACCAAGCCTGAAACTACAAGTAAGCTTCAAGTGAAATTGATACATTACCTTGTGCATCTCCACCAGTTAAAGATACCACCCCTGGATGGAGGAAGAGTACTTCCAGAGAAGATGCCACATCTACCTATGAGACAGATAAGGCAAGTCAAGACGACACCACACTCCGATACTTAGAAGTTTCGTGATTACGAGATCATTCTCCCACAATATTTCCTAATGTCATTTGTACTAAATCATTCACCCGTACTCACTAAAGGAGAGCTTGAACCTATGTACTTGTGTAAACCCTTCACAATTAATGAGAACTCTTCTATTCCGTGGACGTAGCCAATCTGGGTGAACCACGTACATCTTGTGTTTGCTTTCCTATCTCTATCCATTTATATACTTATCCACACTAATGACCGGAGCAATCTAGCGAAGATCACAAAAAGCGACCGTTTTCGTTACCTAGGATCTATCTTGCAAGAGAACGGGAGAATTAGATGGAGATCTCAACCATAGAATACAAGCTGGATGGAAAGAGTGCATCCGGCGTGTTGTGTGACCGTCGTAGGCCACTGAGGCTCAAGGAAAAATTTTATAGGACGGCAATAAGGCCAGCGATGTTGTATGGCAGAGAATGTTGGGTGGTGAAGCATCAACACGTACACAAAATGAGTGTAGCGGAGATGAGGATGCTTCGTGGGATGTGTGGGCACACGAGAAAGGATAAGATTGGGAATGAGGATATCCGAGGTAAAGTAGGAGTAGCCGAAATTGTAGGAAAGATGAGAGAAAATCGGCTCTGGTGATTTGGACATGTGCAAAGAAGGCCGACTGACGCTCCGGTTCGAAGATGTGACTACGGGACAGAGGTTCAGGGCCGAAGGGGTAGAGGAAGACCTAGGAAAACTTTGGAAGAGACTCTAAGAAAAGACTTAGAGTACTTGGATCTAACGGAGGGCATGACACAAAACCGAGCGCAATGGCGTTCTAGGATTCATATAGCCGACCCCACTTAGTGGGAAAAGGCTTTGTTGTTGTTGTTGTTGTTGAACATTTTGGTACACTGGGTTAATATAATATGTTTAGGTGTTGACATTTAGGTACACTAGTTTAGTCTAATATATTTAGGCATCGACATTTCGGTACACTAGTTTAGTATCATATAGTTAGATACGGAATTTTCAGTACACTTATATTTTTGCATATTTTCTTATGTGCTACTAATTTACTACAATATATTTAGGTACGGACATTTCGGTACACTAAATTAGTAAAATATATTATGATACGGACATTTAAGTACACTAATTAGAGGAAGTTAAAGAAAATTAATGAATTAAAATGTGTATAATAATAAATTTAAAATTTAATGCAATGACATTAAATAAGATATCTATTAAATATTAAAACAAAAATATAATATAAATTTGAATTGAGTACACATTAGGGATAAAAATCAATATCCAATCTAACACCAGATTTTTATTAAATTTTAATCTTCTTGAAGGATTAGAGTTAAAAAATCCCATAAATATATCAGAGAGGAACAAGAAGTTTACGAAGCTTGTGGGTATAAAGAATAATAATAACCACTGGTCCACGAGAAGAAGGTTTTAAATCTTAATTTGCAGAAGCACGTAACATGTAAAGATGGTGTAAAAAGAATGATTTATGCATGGTTGATTAGGGTTTAGGTGGCTCACGGGAAGAAGGAGACTTGTATGGAAATTAGGTAGCTCATGGGAAGAAAGAGACTATTATGGAAATTAGGTAGCTCACGGAAGAAAGAGACTTATGAAAACAACGACTTGGTATATAAATAGGTTGTTTATTGTTCCCATCTCACACACCCATCAAGTTCCTTTCTTTTTTTTACCATTTCAACACTGCACAATGGTGATGAAACTGGCCCTCTTTTTTGTTTGAGCATTCTTGATGCCGATACAATATTCCTGCTTCTACACTGCGCAGTGTGGAAACAGGAATATTGTATCGGCATCAAGAATGCTCAAACGAAAAAGAGGGCCAGTTTCATCACCATTGTGCAGTGTTGAAATGGTAAAAAAAGAAAGGAACTTTTATGATCAGCATAATATTGAGTTTCAATATTTTTGCACGGAGCAATGGATAATCCGTGTGAAAATGGGTCATACTCCATGCAATGATTAGTACCAAATCCTGTAATTTTAACCATCTTAGGGTCAATTGACTTGCCGAAAACCCAAAACTGACTAGACCGCTGCTGATCTTTGAAAAAGACCAAACTTTCAAAATTACTTGCAAAGAACAAATTTGTCCTCCTCTCAAACATCATTCCCTCAGGTGAAATCATCCATTGTGAGATGTCAGGTGTTGCACTGGATGATTTCACCCGAGGGAATGATGTTGTAGAGAGGACAAATGTTCTTGACTGCACCTAATTTTGTGAGTTTGGTCTTGTTCAAAGATCAGTAGCTATCTGGCCAGTTTTGGGTTTTCGGCAACTCTATCGACCCTATGATGGTTAAAATCATAGGGTTTGGTTGTGATCATTGCTTGGAGTTTGACCCGTTTTCACACAGGTTATACATGGCTTGAGAGGAAAAAATGGAATCAACAATGGATTGTTGAATCTTACTTATTTGTTGGTTTGAGAGGAAAAAATGTCTGAGGTCATGAATGATGAATAATGAATAATTTTATTGTTTTTATTGCTGCTGAAATTTTTGTTAGTATGTAAATTCTTGTTTGGTGCACGGCCACACTGGCGAAGATGCGATTTTGTTTCTTTCTCCTTGGTTCTACAGATGGCTGGAATTTGGATCCGAAACCGGCGACGACAAGGTTGGAGAAATATCACTCTCCTTACTCCATTCGAACGGCAACCATGAAAATGGCTGCAAATCCAGCGAGGTAAAAATCCTTCCTTTCTCTGTCATCTGATTTCATGACCTCTGAGGTCATATGAAATCAACCTTGCCTTCATGCATGTGTCCGATTATGTGTCTGATGCTTGTATGCTCTTTGCAGGTCCCTGAAGCCGATGCATGTGTGTGCTTTGCCAAGGAAATGGTCAATCCGATGGATCTGCAAACAGAAAAATGAGGAATCCTCTCGGAAATGACAGATTCCGTCTGATGTAAAGGTAAAACTTGGTAATCCTTGTGTGGATCTGCAATGTTTCTCTTTCAAAACGACTTTTCTACTTTGAAAGCTGGCTTCAACTTTGTTGATGAATTTCGTTCTCAATTTTAATCGGTTATCTACTTAAATCCATTTTTCTAAGCCTAATTAGTTCATGCAATCAGCGATCTTTCATGTTTAAATATGCTAAATACTTTAGATTTGAAACTTTGTGTGTTGAATGTCAAGATAGAGAAACTTTTCTATAAACAACCATCTGTCCATTTATGCATTTGTTTCTAATCTTTAGCAAAAGCATCCCTTAACAAATCCACTTGTCATTTGTTCATATTAACATCAATTTTTCCAATTTCTAACAGATAAATGAAAACAGCAACATATCAGAAGAAAGGAGGAACAAAGTGAAGAAACAAACCATTAGATTCTGGAAATTCAACACTACTCCTTGGTTCTTATTGTAGATAGGGTTGTAAATAGATTTCCCCATGTATACAAGTAGTAATGCTAATCATATATATTTAAAACTTTCTACATGTTTTATACAGTTTCAAAACCTGCAGTACCGCGCGAGCACGCTTGCTATTAAAACCTGGACCCAATATGCTTGACCGGAGTAAACACCGGACAAAATTATGAACAAACTGGACTAGCATAGTGGACCCTTCTGTATTTGACCTCCGAATTGTAGAATACTAGAATGTGGATCTAGGACTTTAAAAATGATGTAAATCTGTGGGGTAGGAGTGAGTCGAGTGACATGAGTGAATTAGTTGGGTCCAATACAGAAGCCTCATCAAAATTGCCCGTGCGCTTTCTGAAAACCCTCCCAAAATAACTGCTGTTTGCGGTGAAGGTGATTAGAAAAATTACTTGGGACGTATCTCTGCAAGTTAAGCAACGCATTTCTAGGCCCCATAACTGCTTGTTTGCTGTGACTGTGCTTGCATGTTTGTCTAACTGCTTTAAGCTTCATTAAATTTTGCAATTTGATAGCACTAGAACTGCTGTGGTTCATGGTAAACTAGACTTGCTGCTGGATGCAGGATCCAGTTTTACTTTTTTGTGTGCGCATTTGACCACTATAGTTGGAAAATAGGCTCGTCTTGCTATTCCGGTTTGCTCCCTGCAAAAATCCAATGTTCTTCAATTAATATACTGTTTTTATCACCCCAAGCTTACACAACACAAATTGTAACACACACACAAGTTTTGAAACAAATGTTTTTGATGTTGAAACACGGAATGTGAAAACAGAGAATTTAAATTAAAGCTAATTAGTAAATAAAACAAACACACACACACACACACACACATATATACTTATTTTTTATTTTTAGAGTTTCTATTTTAATTTTTTTTTGAAATAAGTGGGTAACAAAGGAAATATGCACCTAGAAATAAATAAATAAATAAAATGAAAGACTTGAGCATTTCCAATAGAATGTCTACAACTATATGGTCACTAAATATATGGACAAATGACTTTTAATGGGCCGGATTTGAAGTTCTCAAAGTATCTTAATATATAAGGATTTGTCAAATATTTTAAAGAAATTCTCAAATATGAAGACTAAAAGAGTAGAAATGTTATTGCTTTGTATGTTTTTCCTCCTTTTTGGATCAGCCCACATGGGGAAACTCCTTTGGTGTCTCAAGGCTTCATAAAAAAATAATTGGACTATAAAGCCCCTCAAACAAAAAAAAATCCACAACTAGCTGAAAATAATAGAAACAAAATAACAGGGATAATTTTGTCAGAATACAGAAATATAAAATATGTTTTATTAACAAAAAAAGAAACAGATAACTCCTCCTCCATTTTAGGAGAGAGATGTTAATATCTCACAAAAATATAAAAAAAAAATAAAAATAACAACCAAGGTGGGGAGAAAAATTATCAGAATTAGCACGTTTAGTATTCAAATTGCATAGCAGTTTCCGTTCAGTTTTCAAACTCACACAGCCTTTTATCATAACTTCTCCGTTGCATTTGTTTAGTTACAAAATTATGATATCACTCCATCACCCTTCATATCCACAGCTAAAGAAGAATTTGCGAAGGGGCAAAAGGTTGGATGCTTTGAATGTTTAATTGGTGGAGAAATGTATGGTAAGTTTTTTCTTTTTTCCTCTAATATTGATAGCCCTCCTTGAAATTTCCAGCGTTATTATATTTTCGTTGGTGTTCTATCGATTTGGCTTGGCTTTACTCCAATAGCATTCTATGTGCAGCATCGCAAAGTATCTTTAATTTTGTTTCCTTTCTCCACAAATCAAAGGCTTTCAACCTTTCGTCGACAATGCAATTGAAAGGTATGGAATTTTCCAAATTAATCGAAATCATGCAAATTCCCAATATTTATGAAGTTTTAACTTCAATTTCTCTCAAAAAATTCTTTCGTTTTGTTATTGTTTTTTAGCAGGCCGGGAGAGCTGGTTGCATAGGTTGCCGGGATACCTTCATCTGCAGAATTAATTAGAGCCATGTATGAAATTTCTGCCGCACCATGTGATTGGAATTTTAAATTCTCACAGGTTTTGCTACTTTGTTTAATTTTGATCCCAATTTTCTAATTAAATTTCTTCCTTTTGTACATCAAGTAGCCTAAAAAAAAGGTAGCTTTTAATCCTACTCAATTTATGTTGTTGGTTATCTAAATCACAGCATCCTTCTCTCCCACTACAACCCACGTCAACATCGTGCTGCTAGGGGAAGCAGTGGAGAACTCCAGGAACTCCATTTGGTCTCCAAAGAGGTAAGGGAGGTAGAATTCATCAGATCTCTCTTTTTCATTGAACTTGATAGTATGTTATCGGAGCTAGCTTTGTGCTACTGTTGGCTCTTTTTTCAGTGTTTGCTCGAGTTCGTTTATGTGGCCCTCGAGGTTCTTTTTCCTTTCTTTAAGAGCTATTGACTTCTGTAAACATAATACATTTTGAACCTCTAATGTGATTGTTTTTCAGGAAGAGATTGAAAAGATTAAGAGGTGCCTGAGCAAGATTCCTGTGATTGTCGAAGCCATTTCCATCTGCATAAGCTACCGTTGTCAAATAGATTTTCATTAGGTTAGTAATTCATGTTTTCAATTTTCGTTCTCTCTCAGTTTTGACCGCATATTTGCACTCTATTAATTTTATTTTTTTAATATAATTTTATGGACTGCAACAAATTAACTTTCTCTAGAATTTCTTGAACACCATGTTTGAATTGTCGGCCATGTTTCAAATGTGACCGTTGCCTCCTCATTTCATTTTATGGTTTTAGTTCATAATCAACTAATTCACTAATTCAATTACAAATAATGCTAATATTTGATTTTAACAAAACTCATTAAATTTTCAACATGACGGAACGATATGAGTTCATGATATGTTTTGTTGTCAAGTGTATCAAGGTCAATTGAAGTTCTTGGATTGTTTTATACTTTTTATTTAGCTTTTAATTGCTACTAAATTATAAGGATCTTCTCTGTTACTTTTTTTTAATTTTACATATTCTAGACAAAATACTTTAAATTCATGCATGTATTATTAGAGATGATAATCGTCTTTATTTTATATTTCCCTACATTGAACCAATCCTCGCATATAAATGCATCTAAAATGTGTAAATTGCGCGTAGCGTGCTGTGATTAAAAAATGTCTTTTACACGAGCGTGAGCGCGTACAGGAAGGCTAGTCCGATATAGGCCCACTAGACTTCACTGAGTCTCTAGTAGTACTAATTTTAGTATTTCAAACGTTTCGAGACATGTTGACCAAAAGTCAACTCTCAGTCAATGGCAGGATCCACAACCTTACGTAATTCGATCCGGAAGATCAGCACATCGGATTTCAGATCCGTAACTTCCTAAGGTCGTCATTATACTCATAGAACGATATATTAAAATTTCATCCCGATCTGATGTTCGAATCTCCGCCAATTACAAAATCAAATGGCTGTCAACTTTGATTTTACAATCTTAAAAATTCAATTCGGGAAGATCCGTCAGATTCCAATGTTGTTGCAGATTTCATCCGCTTCTGTGCTGCCAAGAAATCGAAATCTGGTCGTGGTTCCTTCCCGATCATTCCGACAAAGAAACGGTCGTCGAGAAGGAGGCCCAACAAGAAAACATGTTCCGGGTTTTCGTCAGTCCCCATTATCCTTCCCAAGAAGAAGAGGTCGCTGAGAAGGAGGGCAGCCCCATCTCTGGATATGACGTCGAAAAATCTGAAAAGGAAGCGGCTTTCTGGGTGTGAATCTTCTACAAACAACGATAGGGATGAAGGGTTTCTTCTTCAGAAGAAACAGAAGTTCGTTGATCCGATCCGTGGTAGTTGAGCACTGACGACCCTTAATTTACCACAACGAGACAGGTTTGCGTGTTGGTTCGGTCAATTTTATAGCTTTATTTTTGGTAGAATTCAAGTTTCAACTTCACTTATTAGAAATGAAATCCTAATTTCTCCAAGTTTTCGTAAGTGGTCAAGGATCCGGCAGTGAAGTCTATGATTCTCGACTTTTAAGTATATAGGGTGAATCTTATGTTTCGTTTAGGAATTATTGTTTCAGTTGTGTACGAGCCTATGATTCTCGAAACATTTAGCTGCTGTTTGTTAAGGCACTGTTATGTTGGAACTCTTCAAGAGACAGTATCCTACATACCAAACAAGGCCTAATCGGATAAATGGTCCCCATGGTCATAAGGTATTCGGATGATAGCCCCTGTGATAAAAAAATTCGAATTTAAACCCCTGTGGTCATAGTCTGTTAGGATTTAAACCCCTGTGGTCTAAGTCTGTTAGGATTTATGCCCTTCTGTCATTCCTCCATTAGATTTAGGTTGGCAAAATTGAATAAATGATCCCCGTGATCATAACGTATTCGGAAGATAGTCCCTGTGGTAAAAAAAATTCGGATTTAAACCCCTGTGGTCTAAGTTTGTTAGGATTTATGCCTAAAACTAGAGGTTTTGTCATTTCTCTGCTAAGCTTACAGGTGGAACTAATAAAAAAAAAAAGGTCGTACCCAGTACACAAGGCTCCCGCTTTACACAGGGTCTGGGACAGGTGGAACTAATAAATCACATAATTCATTAAAATTCAAGATCTAATAAATCAAATAATTCAAAATGCCTTTATAAAATTAACGAGTTTTTGACTCCCGAATGTCCAACCGATTAATTAATTCTTTATATATATTCTATTTTTCTTTGACAAATAAGACAGTAATCGTTGGCGTTTTCCCAGAATTTTACGTAAACCTCTTTGAGATAAATAGTTTTTTTGTGTAATTGTAAATGTGAAGTAAGTCTTCGTATCCTATTGGTGAAACTAACTATTTGAAATTCAACAGATCATCTGTTTTCGTCTTTTTTCTTCTTGTGAAATAACTAAGATGAATAAATTTTTTTACCATAAACTGAAATCTTCTCTCCCCCCTTCTTATTGTAAGATATTTTTTATTGATAGATACTCAGAGAAACTCTGCTCCACCTGTAAGCTTAACGAAGGAATGACATAACCTCTAATTTCTGGCATAAATCCTAATAGACTTAGACCACAGGGGTTTAAATCCGAATTTTTTCTACCACAGGGGCTATCTTCCGAATTCCTTATGACCACGGGGACCATTTATCCGATTTGGCCAACCTAAACCTAATGAAGGAATGACAGAAGGGCATAAATCCTAACAAACTTAGATCACAGAGGTTTAAATCCTAACCGACTGTGACCACAAGGGTTTAAATCCGAATTTTTTTACCACATGAGCTATCATCCGAATACCTTATGATCACGAGGACCATTTATCCGATTATGCCTACCAAACAAATAAGAGTCGGAACGTTTCACTTGTCCTCTACAGATTGCAATGATGGGAACAGTAACCATCATTCAGTTTTAAGTGCAATCAGCCCACGATGTACAGTGGTTGAGCTTTGCCGGGAACATTCAGCTCTTTTGGCAATGTGGAAAGGTGTTAGCTCTTAAGAGCAATTCCACTCCTAAGGACTTTGCGCCAGCACCCAGCGCATTTATCTACTCAAATGAACAGTAATAGACTGGAGTGAATAGTAATAGGCCAAGGCATCTCCACCCCTAAAAAAATGCGCTGGTACCCAGCGCATTTATTTGGTGTGTTTTTTTTTTTAAGTTTATTTCGGATAAGATTTTTAACCAATTTCAGATAAAATTTCAAATAAACTTAAAAAAAAATACACACTAAAATAAAATTACATACTCATCAAATAAACTAAAAAAAAAACACACTAAAATGAAATTACATAAACTCATCAAATACACTTTATTCTTCAACCACAAGTTTTTTGGTATTTTTTTTTCACACAAAAAGTAATATGAAAGCTTTGGTAGAAAGTGTAGAAAATATTGAAATGTGGTGTAAGGTGGAAGATGAGAGTTAGGTATTTATAGAAAAAAAAAATAAATTTTTTTTTAAATTTTATGTATTTTTTAATATTTTTTCTGTATGTTTTAATAAATTTTAATTAGTTAATTAACGTGGACCGTTGATCTGTGATCGGACGGAATATTTTAAAAGTAAAATTTAAATTTTTTTTACCGTTGGAAATCCAACGGTCTAGAAAAACTAGCCGTTGGAAATCCAACGGATATAAGAATGCCACGTCGCTGATGGGATCCGGAGCACAAGTGGGCTGACAGCCCTGTCGGCTACTCGCGGCAGCGCCTGCGTGAAGCGCACGCGCCAGGCAAACTGCCCAGCTTCTTGCTCAGTCTGTTTTGGGCTGGGCTCTTGCCCAGCTCGGGCTGGGTACCAGTCAAATTGAGGGGTGGACTTGGTTGACAGGGTGCTGGCCCTGTTTTCTCCTGGGTCCTGGGCAAATTCCACTCCGGTGGAATTGCTCTAATTGTTTCAGTTATGTACTTGATTAATTGATTGAATACTTGATTGGGTGAGTCTACGTTCTTTGAAACGAATAAGAGTCATGATGTTACATTTGGTGGAAGTTGAGAAAAGAGAAAGCAACCTGTTATGATTAGTGGTAGCATTGTAGGGAACTGTGACCCTCCAAAAATTTGAAGTCTAAACACCCACCATTTATAGGTGTTGAGCTTTGCCGGAACCATCTGGTACGTCATTTTATGTTAAAACTAATAGCAGCTGTGCAAAATTTTGTGCCCAAGGTGAGGAGAGAGAAATTGAGAATCCTTATTTCAGTAGTTATTTTTCCTTTGCAAATGATTTAACATTTCAACTGGGTGAAGATCAAATTTACTTTGAAGCTGTTCCATGCCAGTGAGATGTCACCAACATGTAAATTGTGGTACCTATATCCACACTACTGTGACAGAGGTTTATTTCAAAATTCCTCCGCACGCTTCACATAACCACTGCATTTTAATTGAACATTGCACTTAAATGTGTGTTTCCTCTGGCACTGCAGCTGCAGGTTGATCATCCATGTGAGCAGAGAAGAAACACTACCGAGTATCGGCCTCTTTTTCCTGCAAATGATCTTTTATTGACAAGTGATTTAGTGTGATTATATATCGGAGAAAGCTCTGGTTTTGATTGCTTGTCTAACTGAATATATTATTTTTCCAACTGAATATTGCTAATTGTTTTACAAGTTGTTTTTTATGTTATTTTCCATATGTAATTTTCATCTTTAAAGTCCAGACGAAGGAGATTACCTTTCTTGTTGTCTTTTTTGTTGTTTCTATGCAGCTTCGCTAATTGTGAAACTCGTTCATTGCTAGTTGTTGATAGGAGGTGAGCTTGTCGTTGGAAAACCTCTGCAGACCTGTAAGTTTTGGTCTTGTCTTGGCAGGTTGATGGAATCTATCCTGGAAAAATTCCTCACGAGCTTGACCCTCCTGCTGACGTTGCAGAACTGCAAGAAGCATCTGGAGAAGGGTGCTTGCTTGCAATTAATTAGAGGCCATGGTTATGGAAAGTGTTACACAGTCAATACGATTGTTCTGAGGTTTTCCCTTCTTGTTGTATTTGTAATTTTGTATGTGAAGGAGTATAAAGATGTTCTTTTATTGATACCATTTCGAATAGTCCATTTAGTTTTCAGTTTTTAGTTTTCAATTTTTCGCTAAAAGCAGGGTAAGTACATGGGAGAAATAAGGGATGAAATGCTCAGTTTCGCGAAGCAATGGTGGTGAGAAAGACGCAGAAGATAAATGCACGGATTGGTAAACAAAATAAAATAAAAGGAGAAAACAATCTCAAGTGGGTTTTATTTTCTATATCTGCCTCAGGCAGACCAAGTGGAACGAAAAGCTAAAAACAAAATGGTTATTAAACGAAAAGCTAAAAGTATGTCAAACTTTGATCTGCGAATTATTCGCTTGATTTTATACGTGTGGAAAGATACATTAAAACAAAAGGAATTCCATGGATTTATCATATAAATGTTCAATAATTCAGCTGCATATTTTTACCCTAAAAGTAAAAGGAAATTCAAAGGACGAAGTCACTTGATTTTATAGGACAAAAAAAAGTTAACCAGTGTGAACAAGTGAGGCTTGCTTTAACTATGATCTCTTGACGAATACGAGAATGTATCCTACAGTTATAGAGAGAAGAAGGAATATAACAGCAGCCATGATGTTGACATTAGACGACTGTGAAGATTTTTGGCCACTTTCTCCCCTCAATTTGTCAAGTCCGCTCTTCTCTGAACGGGAGTTAGATGCCGAGGGAAGTGGCACCGCCACATCCCAAAAAGATTTGGTCACTGCAGATGGGGCCTCTATTTCTGGTTCCAAGATTGTTGCGTTATCTGTTGGAGCTTCCATAGACAGCAATTCGACACATCGATCTTTCAGAACCTAAGCGAGCATGGAAAGCAAAATGTCAGAGCTATCAAGACATGGAGCTATAAAGAGAATAACTAAAAAGCTCATTTGCTCAACATTTGGTCCAAATAGAGCTCTTCAGAACCAAAGACGGAAAGGCTGCATCATCTCCAATTTTATGTCTTTAGTTTATAAGTACAAACCTCAAAAAAATTTCCAATTTCATGTCTTTAGTCTACAAGTACAAACCTCAAAAGTCTCAGATGGTTGTAGGTAGTCACACACAAATGTACCCCCTAACCAAGGAACAAGGACTCTTCGGGGAAGTGAAAGACTGCATGTTTTTCTGTTTTAAAATGCATAACAAATGTGGTCAGGGGCGACCTCGGTCAGCAATGTGAAAATCTCATTTGATTAAAACATAACATCCCTAACGGACCTGAAGGATTGAAGAACAATATGAGAAGCAGGTGTTTCACTGGATATCCCATCTCTTGCTTCCTGAGTATCAGCACCATCTTTTGCTTGCTGGCCGCTAGTTTCAGTTGTAACTGCCTCGCCATCTGCTTCATCACAGATAATATCTAGTCTACTCTGCAGACTCGTGATAATGTCATCCTACAAGTACAAACATAAAAACAATCCATGATTTTACAGGATATGAGCACTATGCGAATTAAACTAGCGAAAACTACATTGTCGATACAGAATCCCTATAATCAATTCTTATCTGAATTCTCTAAAAAGGTAGTACAGTCAATTAATGATAAAATGTGAATTCCAAATGGCTTTTAGAAACTAAAACCGATAATTAATTTTCAGTCTAACATCATGAACGGATAATTAAAAGTGATCGTCTCTTGTATACCTTTATATCAGCAACAGCTTGTGAAATTGGTTCTTTAGGATTTAAGTATGCAAAGGAACACACCGAACCGCTAAAATCAAGAATACCAGTAGTATCTTTTTGGCTGCAGACTTTACACAATATAGATGAATATTAGGATAGAATCTCAAAATGGAAAACGAAATTCAAGAAAAAAAAATTAACAAATGAAGAGAAAAATTAAATAATGCATAAACACACCTTCAGTATCTTTCATAAAAGGTAGAAGCAACTCGACTTCATGCAGACCATCTGATGTGCATAGATCATTGTTAACAACCTAAAGTTTATGCCAGATAGAAAAATCTAGATGAGAACTTGAGGTTAAAGTAGCAAGCTAGAAACCATGCTTATTGATTCTGGCAAATAAAAGGGGAAAGCACAATCCAAACACTCTGCTTTATGCTGTAAGATGATTGATTACACATGTGATGTGGGTATTGGAATTGGTCAGTAATGCAGGCACAAGTGAAAAAGCAGAAACTCAGAGAAAATTGCACGCAAGCAAGCTTAACTCGAGGTTTTATTTATTTATTTATTTTTTCTGTTGATTGGTAAACTATTACATCACAACAGATATCAACATAAGAATTCGATGGAACCAATTCAAGGTCATCCAGAGCATTAAAGTAGACACCACCCAGAGCACTAACATACACACAAGTATCCAGCAAATTGACAGGCATGAGCAGGTGTCACACTTTTGCATATTAACAAAAAGGTGTACAGTAATTTTCAAAGGAACAACCGAACAAGTCAATGAGTAACTTACCAAATTTCCGTCAATCATGGCTTTTGCACTTTTTAAATCTTTCCCATGAACTGAAATACCATGACGTAGAGCTTCAGTAAAAGTTTGGAGATTTGATGAATTCTTGTGAAATATGGGCAATCTGGGAAAGAATAACTACCATGAGAAAACCTAAACGCCATTATAGCACCAGTATTGTAATGAAGCATCAATAACAAAAATACTATTAGTAAATTGGATATGACCCTTGGTACTATGAGAGCTCAATATCTATCACGTTGGGGAGGTAGAAGCTCAATATATGCAAAGGGTTTAGATTTAAGGTTCAACTTCAGTGTTGGCTTTGGTGCGTGTGAAAATAACAGGAAAAGTATATTTATAAGTTCTAAGAATATATATTAATAGAGCACAAGAGCACTCTGGTAGGCAGGACTTACAACAGCCTGGACCACTGAGAGGAAAAACAAATTCCTGCAGTTTCAGAAGCCATAAATAAAAGAATCCTCTACCTTCAGTTAAATAAGGCTTATTAATAAGAAAAGCAGACAGTACCTGATATCAAAGTTGTACATGCACCTAAATCTTTGAAGGGAATTTAGGACCCTTCCCATTTTGAAGTCACAAGGTCTTAGGCTGCTTGACGTAATATTTGAAGCTACTGCACAATTTCGACATGTCCACCTACGGAAATAACCTCTTCAATCAGCATGAAATAACATTTGACAATAATTAAGAGAGAATAAAGTGGGACAGTTCAGGTTGGGAGCACACCTCCTTGGACTATAACAAATGTGAATGAGCAGTCTCTCATCCCAATCACTCTCTGTGAGGGGTGCTGCTTTGGCAACTCCCATTACAGTCTGCAAGGGCCTTTTCCATTAATAAATAAAAAATCATTTTTCACAGAATATGCATACGATAACTCAAAGTCTAAAGTGAATATAGGCAGTCTAGCTAACCCATTATTTGGAAGTAAACCAGCCAAGAGAGTTTAAAGTGAAATAACCTCTTTGTTTTCTATTAGATTTATGGTAAGTTGGTATCTATAAAACATTATTGAGATAACCACGAGAGTTTGTTGCGAACCCTTATATTGTATTAGTTCTCAGAAAATGAAAGGGGTGCATCCACTAAACTGAATGGTTGTATTAGACCTAATTTCATGAATTTGAACTTTACTTGACAGGCCTTTCAGACCGGAAAAAAAAAATCAACAGTCAAAAGCTGAAAATGGAAACCCAACATTCAACAATCAATCCCGTATAATCCTTCCTACACATTTTCTCTGTGACTAAGCAGGGCATTAAGCACAGTAAAAGCCACCACAAAACCAAGCTCATAGAGTAACAGTGCCACTGAGTAACGTTTGATAAAAACATTTTAGCAATCAGAATTAAGCTCTACAAAGAAACATCCACATATCAAATCCAATCCGGGCGAAAAGAATACCTGGCAAAGCATGACGTTCGAATTCTTAAAAGCGCTATCGCTAGCCCAAATGTACATGCCAACCACCTTCATGCCACCCACTAACATTCTAGACACCTGAAACATGAAACAAATTCCTATTACAACTACTCAAGCACAATGAGAAAAACCCAGAAACCAGATCACATATTAGACTTTAATTGTATGCATATATACAAATAGGAATGTAAATATACAAGCATACATATATATATAGAGGAACATTTTTTGTATATGTAACTGACCTGACGGGCATGTTCGGCGACCCAGTCCTTGTCAATGGAGAGTGAGGAGGAATCGGAGGGCTGAGATTTGGGTTTAGACCCCTTTCTCTTGTCGTCCCTGGCGGGCTCCACGACGGAGCAAGCAGGCGCTCCGGCGTCGTTCGGTGGCGTTGGGACCAAATCGAAGACGAAACCTCGGTCTAGAGACGAGCTGAGTTTGCCTACGAGGAGCCCCACCTGAATTTTCATAAGAAACAAATAAAAAACCGTAAAACTCAGAAGCATCAATCTTTAGAGAGAGAGAGGACCTGCACGGGGGTGGAGGATTGCTCGAGGCGATCCTCGGCTAATTTGAGCTGGGTTTCCTCTCCGACGACGGCTTTCACCATTGTTGTACGGAAGCTGTGATTTTTCTGGTTGGATCAGCGAGCTTTCTTTTCAGTCAGTTGACTGACCATAACTCCGGTTTGTTAATTTCTTGGCCGGGCTTGCGAGTCGTGCATGATCACGGGTCAGCCCATTAAATCAAAATCAAGTGGTGATATGGGTATGCAATTTTGGCGGGTTGGAAGGTCAACCCATTCGGAATTAATTCGAGTTTGGGTTTGAGGAGTTCATTCGTACTTGTGTTTAAATTATTGATATAAATTCTTACTCTTAGGTTTTAATATGAATTTGTGACTAACATTTAGAGCAACTCCACCCATGGTGGTTGCTCGGGGGACAGGCTCCAGGAAAGGGCTCGAGGGCCGGTGGGTAGGCCTCCAGCCTTGGAGAGCCCGAGTGAGGGTGGGAGCCTGAGGGCCAGGCCCGTGGGGGATTGACAGGCCTGCTGCTCGAGGCCTGTAACGTCAGGCTGACGCAAGGCCTACGTCCGACCTTTTTTTTTTTTTTTTTTTTTGTGTCAGGCGCGTGCCCCTCACTCGCGAGTGGGGGCGCGTCGCTCGACCGGAATTCAGGGCATGGCCCCGTGCGCCTTAAAAATCCCAGTGATCGTTGGGAAGCCACGTGGCTTCCCACGGTCTGTTCGATCCCAACGGCTCTTTAATACGAGCCGTCCGATTTGCAACGGTAATAATAAAAAAAGCTGATTTTATATCAACCATTCGATCTGAGATCAACGGTTGATATTAATCTGCTTTATAAATAAAAAAAATAGTTTTAAAATTAAGAAAAGTTACCATTGTGACACGTGGCACAATCTGGAGTGTTGGAATTCAAAATTTTTAAAATCCAACGGCAAAGATTAATTATTTGAATAAAAATTAAAAAAAATTGTAAAAAATCCGAAAAAATTGTAAAAAATCTGAAAAAAAATGTAAAAAATTGTTTTTACTTTTCTATAAATACCACTTCTTCTCCATCTACCTTACACCACAATTTCATATTTTCTCAACTACTTTCAATCAAATTCCTATCTTTCTCTCAAAGTTTCAATCCAATTTTTTTTCCATAAAATGACTACTGATGCAGGTACGAATTGGCCGCTTCTTGAAGATGTTGCGTTGTGCACTAGTTGGGTTGAAGTTACTCATAATTCCCTTACGGGTAATGAGATGCAGTTGCGAGAAATATGGAGTTTAATTCATACCAAATTTCTTCAGCAAATGGGTGGGAAAAGAACCAAAGAATCGATGTCCAGTCGTTGGAAAATACTTAGCCATTCGTTTAGTACATGGAGAGATGCCTTGACACAAGCTAGTAGTAATGTTTGAAGTGGGGCAAATTACGCGGATGAGGTAAGAATATATTATAATTATATGTTTGTATTATTATTTTGTTACCTAATTTGATTATAATTATTTGTTTGTATTATTTATTTGTTACCTAATTTCATTATTATTATTTGTTTGTATTATTTATTTGTGACCTAATTTCATTATTATTATTTGTTTGTATTATTTATTTGTTACCTAATAATTTCATTATTATTATTTGTTTGTATTATTTATTTGTGACCTAATTTCATTATTATTATTTGTTTGTGTTATTTATTTGTTACCTAATAATTTGTTTATTATTATTTGTTTGTATTATTTATAGGAAAACTAATGAAAAAGGCTTGAAAACTTTGAGTTTTAATGATAAGGACAAAATAAAGGGTAAAGTGAATAGTACCAGGTTTGACTTTTTAGTGTAAGAATGTGGTTTTTCGTTAAAGTGAACAGTACCGTGGGCTTTTCGTTAAAACTCCCATTATTTATTTGTTACCTAATAATTTTATTATTATTATTTGTTTATATTATTTATTTGTTACCTAATAATTTCATTATTATTATTTGTTTGTATTATTTATTTGTGACCTAATTTCATTATTATTATTTGTTTGTATTATTTATTTGTTACCTAATAATTTCATTATTATTCATTTGTAGCAACTTCAAGCACAAGCATGGTATGCTGCCAAAATCAAATCAAGAAACAAAACATTCAACCGGTGGGAATGTTGGAATATTGTTAAAGATTGTTCTAAATTCAAAGTTGTGCCTGTTGGTCCAGAAGTATGCATGAACAGCACCCCTCTACACAGCACCCCTTCACACTCTACACCCGATCATGGCTCCCATGTTGATGAAGAAGATGGAGAAGAAGTGCCTGAAACGCCCATTCTTGAACAAGCGTCAGGGTCGACCCGTTATCCAATTAGACCTCAAGGTAAGAAGACTTCAAAGAGGAAAGGGAGTGCTTTCAAGAATAATTATGGAAAGTACATGCAAGAACTTGCTCGTCAAGGTGAATTGACGTTGGCGCGGGAATTGGCGAAATATAAGGCTGAAAATGCTAGAGATGAGGCAAAAGCTGCAGTTATTTAACAAGCATTTCAAGCTGAACAGAGGGAAAGAGAGCTACTTAGGCAAGAAAGGGAGTTGCTTAGAGAGGAAGAATTGCACAACGAGATCGTGACATTATGAACACGCGTTTAGAAAGGATGTCTCCAAATTCTAAATATTTTTGGCAGTCGGAGAAAGCGGATGTGGTGCAAAGGAGGCGTGCAAGAGAAGCGAGATCAAGACAAGATGGTCCTAGCACAACAAGACAAAATGATCCTAGCACCACATATTGGTTAAGTGATGATGAATAGGGTACTTTTTGTAATCCGTGCCCATAGTTTTCCAATCACTTTGAGTTGTAATTTATTATTTATGTTGTTTCCAATTTATTGAAGTTAGTACTTTATTTAAAGTGAGAGTACATTTATTCAATTTTGTAATATATTTATCCTAATAATAGAATCTTTATTTATCAAATTGTTCACGTATATTGAAATTATAAAACACACCAAATAAAACTAAAAAACTCACCAAATGGAATTACATAAACACATCAAATAAAATTACATATACATACCAAATTATAAAAAACTCACTACAAAAAACACACCAAATAAAATTACATAAACATACCAAATAATTCACACCAAATAAAATTACATAAACATAACAAATAATAAAAAACTCACTACAAAAAACACACCAAATAAAATTAAATAAACACACCAAATACAAACAAACATACTAAATAAACTTAAGTATCTTCAGCTTGTTTCAATGCCCACTGGTACTCTATCAAGTCAATTTGCCGATCATTGTGCATAGATGACCTTTGAAGTGCAGTATATCGTTGAATGACCCTTTCATTGTAACGTCCATCCCTTTCTAATGGATCGTGTTGCACGGGTTCTTCGGTGGCATCATGCGCACAATATATATGTGTTCTTAAATTGTTCATCGTGTCTGGCTCTGGCTCATATTCATCAACCGCATCATAATCAAACTTATCTTCCACAATCATGTTGTGAAGAATGACGCACGTCATCATCATGGATCGAAGTGACTCTACATCGAACATTCTGGCAGCACCCATGACGATCGCCCAACGAGCTTGAAGGATACTAAAATAACGCTCCATATCCTTCCTGCACCCCTCTTGACTGCTTGCAAAGTGTTTTTCTTTTGCACTTCATGGACGTGGCACTGTTTTGACAAATGTTTCCCACCGTGGGTAAATGCCGTCAGCTAGGTAGTATGGCCCGTCGTACCTACGTCCGTTGACGACGTACGTGACTTTTGGTGCCTTTCCTTGTAGGACGTCGTTGAACACTAGGGATTGGGCAAGGACGTTGAGATCATTTTGAGCCCCCGGAACCCCGAAAAAGGCGTGCCATATCCATGTATCAAAATATGCCACTGCCTCCAAAATGATAGATTTTGCTCATTTTCTGTCCTCATATGCACCTTGCCATGCACTTGGACAGTTTTTCCACGTCCAGTGCATACAATCGATGTTTCCTATCATCCTAGGAAAACCTCGCATCTCGCCCTTCTTCAGAAGCCTTTGCAAGTCCATGTGAGTAGGTTTTCAGAGGTACTCTGCGGTGTACAAAGATTCGACTGCAGGGCCTCAAGAATGGTTGATTTCCCCATCCTCGTTATCTCATCCACTTGGTCTGCAGATGCTCCATACGCAAGCATCCGTAACGCAGCAGTGATTTTTTGCTCAGGCAGGAGACCCATAACACCACAAGCATCATTCTTTTGCACAAAGTAAGAATCATGGTTGCAAACATCAATCATGATTCTGTTGAACAAATGTCGTTCCATTCTAAAACGACGTCTGAAGTACGTATCAGGAAATGCACTATTATGGACAAAGTAATCGTCCAACAGCTATTCACCCCGTCGTTGCCTGCTTCTATCAAGGTTTCTTGAACGGCTGGGTCTGCATATCTGAGCAACAGTCTGGATGACTCGACGAGAATGTGAGGCTTTGGCCATTCTTGTTTCATCATCTCTCCTTGTACGCTCCTCATCCTCTTCCATCTCATTTTTGACTATCTGAAGGCTGAACATTCTTTCATATTGGTTAAACAATTCTTCCTCTTGCTGATCGATTTCCCACATCATCCTTGATGAAGAAGAAGACATTGTAAGGATGGATGGTGAAGAAGAAGCAGAAACTATGAATAATGAGATAGAGATGTTAAGAAAATTGATGTGAGATTTGTGAGGATGGATGGTGGATTATATGGACGATTCAGAAATGATTGGATTGTAGATAAGGCCACGTGGCATGACGTCATTCGTTAAAAATCTAATCGAAATCTATCCTTAAAGATTCTGAAAAGATAATGACACGTGGCACGATCGTATTGGATAAAATCTTATCGAAATCGATCTCCAATAATTATCTTTTCGAATAATGACACGTGGCGTAATTTTAAACGAGTTAAAATCTGATCGAAATCTATCGTCAAAGATTCTCAAAAGATAACGACACGTGGCACGATGACATTGGATAAAAATCTTATCGAAATCCATCGCTAAATAATTGTTTTTTTTTATAAAATGACATGTGGCGCAACAAGAACGATTTAAAAAATCTTATCCGAAATTACAAATAATTTTATTTTGTATTATTTAAACAAACAAAAAAACTAATATTTTATTGCCTATTGCCAGGGGGAGGGCTCCAAGGGTGGAGATGCAAATGGCAATTACTGTTCATTAAGGGTAGTTACTATTCATTAAAGGCAGTTACTGTTCAATATGGTGAATTCAATAGTGGATTGCCAGGGGGAGGGTTCCATGGGTGGAGTTGCTCTTACTGACACACCCCGA